GCTGGGACCCGGAGGTGAGGGTGGGCCCGGGTTCCCCACTCCCCACTCACCCCAACCCCGAAGCACGTGTTCGGAAACTAGAGACGTTCGCACGGGGGCGGGGCGAGGACCGAGTCGCAGCCCCGACCCCCCCCAGACGATTAATAGCCCCTGAGGGGCGGGGGGGCCCTGCCCCGGACCACGGGGGAAGGGACTCAGGTGGTGGTGGGTCCGCCAAACCCCCCCCGCCCAACCTAGGGCAGAGGGGGTGATAGCACCCATCGGCTGGCACCGCGATTAAACTGGGCTAGGGACGCCCGGGATGGTCGAGAGACGGGTGGGTCTGCAGAGCCCCCTCTAACCTCCCCCGGAGGGATAGGGGCGCGGTGTTCGCACCCAGAAACCCCGTCACAGACTCCCTGAGGCTTTCCAGTATAGCCCCAGCTTACCTGCTTGGTTACTGGAGTGTCCCAGGCCCCCTCAGTGCCACCAGTGTTTCACAGGCCTCAAGAGGATGTGGGAGGCATCAGCCCACCCTCTCAGCAGACAGTTGGGGTGAGTGACCAACCCCCATCTCATGAGGAAAGCCAGTCAGACCTGGCCTCCTCCTCTTCATCGCCGGATGAGGTGTAATGGCTTCTTCCATGGCAGTGCCTCTGGAGGATTCAAGAGCACATTAAGACCTCCTGAGGTGGATGGCTAATGGTTTGGATCTCTAGGCTGAGGAGGTGCAGGAGACCTTGGACTCATTGTTTATCCCAAGATAAAGACCCAAAATGCTTAGACTTGTTTGGCAGAAAGAGTTATTCTTCAGCCAGCTTTCAGCTGAGGGTGGTGAACCACTAGGCTTTGTTTGCCAGGTACGAAGTCAACACCTGGCAGGCACTGACCAAATTTGAGGCTTCCTTACTTGAAGATTCACGCAAGGAGTTTAAAAGCCTTGGTGGAAGAGGGGTCTTCGGTGTTGCTGGCAGCCTTACAGGTGGCATCTGACACTGCGGACTTGGCTGCTCTCTCTATGGCTTCCGCCATCTCCATTAGGTATGCAGGCTGGCTCCTCCTGTTGGTCTTGTCTCTGGTCCATCCAGGACCTCCCCTGTGACACTAATGCCCTGTTTGCAGAACAGACGGACACTAAGTTGCATGGGCTAAAGAACTCCTGTATGACCTTGGAAACCTTGGGCCTCTACGTCCCTGGGTTTGAGAGGAAGAGGTTTAAGCCCCAGTACTCTCAACCAAAGGGCTAGTATCCCTGCCAGAAGAGAGCCCATTCCTGTCCAAAGCCCTCTAAGTGGAGACCAGGCCTCCATCTTCCATCTAGCCAGCTATCAACCAGCCACATGAAGCCTCAGGGCAAGCATTCCTTTTGAAGGTGCGCCGGAGGACAACATACCAGACTACCAAGATCCTGCCTACCTGATCTCGCTCAGGCTCCATCTCTTCCTCCTGGCATGGAGGGACATCAGATTGGACTGTTGGGTTCTAGCTACTGTCCAGCATGGCTAGACCCTCCAGATCTCCTCCTCACCACCCTCCTACCCTTCACCTTCATCCCTCTTCAGGGACCCTTCATACAACCTTCTTTTTGAATAGGAGCTATCCCAATTGCTCCAGGTGGGAGTAGTGGAGAAGATACCACCGAGTTCAAGAGCAAAGGTTTCTACACTTGCTACTTTTTGATTCCCAAGGCAAAATGGGGTGTATGGCCTATATTGAACTTGCATGGCCTCAACAAATTTTTGGTCCACCTCAAGTTCCACATGATCTCCCTGGCCTCCATCATTCCCAATCTGGATCCCGGGGACTGGTATGCTCTCCTTGATCTCAAGGGTGCATCCTTCCATATTGCAATCTTCGAACATCGTAAGTGCTTCCTGAGGTTCATAGTGGGAAAGAACCACTACCAGTTTGATGTCTTGCCCTTTGGTCTGTCTACGGCCCCCAGGGTTTTCACCAAGTGCATGTCGCTGGTTGTGACATACCTGAGGCACCAGGGAGTACAGGTGTACCCTTACTTAGACTACTGGCTCATCAAAGGCCTGTTGAGACTAAAGGTCCAGTGTATATCTCCTCCTGGACACGTGTGTTAGCCGGTGGCCGGGGTGATGAGTGATCTGTGAGCCTTATCACACCCGAGTCTTTAGCTGCTAGGACAGAGTCCCTTCACAGCGGGCAACCCTAACGGCCGATGGATGCCCCAAAGATACACCCGAGTGTTTAACTGCTAGGACAAAGTCCCTTCGCAGCGGGCAGCCAGGGAGGCTGATGGGCGCCCCAAGAGTCAGCCCCATGAAGGCGGCACGACTCAACGCTCAGCTCTTATTGCGTTTACCCCTGACCACGGTACAATAGCCAAACCGGCTATGGTTCTTTTGATTGTGTTTGGTTCTGTTACAGCAACAGGAGGAGTCAGGTTAAGACTTAAACAGTTACTACTTGATTGTTACAAGGCAAACGTAGCTTTTAAATGTTACTGCTGTGTTACAGATAACACAGTCACTACAAAGACAAGACAGAAATACAATAAAAGTCACTTAAAGGTACCATGGAACCCTTTGGTTCTCTGAGCTCTTATTGAATGCGCGCAAAACAGACAGCTAGCAGGTATATTTTCACCCCTGTGATCCTTAGTCTGGCGAAGCCAGTGTTTCTCTCAATCCCAATGGGAAGCAGTCGGTACGAGACGAAGGCATCCCTAAAGTCTCGGGGGTCCAGGACTGCCTGACCGGCAGGTATATGGTTGGATCTCTAATTAGAGTGGGGCATAGGACCCCACTTTATACCCCTGTGGTCACGTAGACGCTTCTCTTGTCATAAAATGCCAATTAAGTTGGTGAACGAAAACACGAAATGCAGTTGGTTCTGCCCCTGGTTCAGCCTCAAGCTCCCTTCTGGATGTGTTTATGTATCCGTGGTCGGAAAGTCTTTTCTACACCTTCCCTCCATTTCCCCCCATTGACAAGGTCCTGCAGAAGATCAAGAGGGACAAGGAAATGGTGATCCTCATAGCTCAGGTCTGGCCTCGCCAGCACTGTTTCGGTGCACTGATGAACCTAGTATCCCGTGCACCCAAGTGGTTGCCACTGAGACATAAGAATATAAGAATGGCCATACTGGGTCAGACCAAAGGTCCATCTAGATCAGCATCCTGTCTGCCGATAGTGGCCAATATCAGATGCCCCAGAGAGAGGTAACACAACAGGTAATCTTCATCAGACTTGCTGTCTTAGGACCAAGGGCATCTGCTCCACCCTAACCTCAGCTCGCTCCACCTGGTTGAACCCCCAGGAGTGGGCGTGTTTGGGTGACATTCAGAGGGTTCTCCTGAGAATAGAATAGAAAGCTTTCGACATGGTCCACCTATACTGCCAAGTGGACCTGTTTCTCAGGTCTTGCTTTGGCCACCATTAGAATCCACTTGGCAGCCATTTCCTCATTTCATCCACCCATGCAAAGCCATTCTGAATTCTCCCATGATGTCACCTCTCAGTTCCTGGGAGGGCTGGAACATCTCTTTTCCCAGACCAGAGACCCTCTTCTGCAGTGAAACCTGAACCTGATCTTGGTGCAGCTGATGGGACCTCTATTTGAGCCCAGGCCACATGTTTGCTGTTCTTCATGATAGCCTTGCTGATTGCCATCACATTGGCTAGATGGGTGTTGGAACTCCGAGTGCTGCCATCAGAATCACTGTATATCCAGTTCTTCAAGGATAAGGTCTAGCTGTAGCCTCATCCTTCCGAAAGTAGTCTCTGCCTTCCAGTGGACCAGGATATTTTTCTGCTAGTCTTTTATCCCAAGCCTCATGCAAACAATGAGGGAAGCTGCTCTAATCACTGGATGTGCGCAGGGTGCTGGCTTTCTATGTGGAGAGGACACAGCCCTTTCAAAGGTCCACACAGCTCTTCATGGCCTTTGTGGACTGTGGAAGTGTTTCTCTGATTTCCTTACAGAGACTTTCCAAGTGGATAACTCCCTGCATCTGCACTTTACAAGTTGGCAGGAGCCCAGCTGCCGGAGCTGATCCGGGCCCACTCTATCAAGGCTCAGATTTCCTTGTGTGCTTACCTTGCACATGTCCCAGTCCAGGACATTTGCTGAGCATAGTTGTGGTCCTTGGTGCATACCTTAATGTCTCCTTATGCCATCACGCAGCAGGCCAGAGACGATGATGCATTTGGCAGCTCTTTGCTCCAGTCCTCATTTTCATAACTTCTACCCACCTCCGCAGACACTGCTTACAGTCACCTATGTTTAATGGACATGAGCAAGCACCCAAAGCAGAAAAGACAGTTTCCTGTTCTTTAAGGCTGTGTCTAGACTGGCATGATTTTGCGCAAATACTTTTAACGGAAAAGTTTTTTTGTTAAAAGTATTTGCGCAAGAGAGCGTCTATACTGGCATGTGCCTTTGCGCAAAAGATTTGCTTTTGCGCAAAAGCATCCGTGCCAATGTAGATGCTCTCTTGCGCAAGAAAGCTCTGATGGCCATTTTAGCCATCAGGCTTTCTTGTGCAAGAAATTAACGTTGCTGTAAGAAAAAGTATTCTTGCATGTAAGAATACTTGCACAAGAGGGCTTATCCCTGAGCGGGAGCATCAGAGTATTTGTGCAAGAACCACTGATTTTGTACATTACCAAGTCAGTGTTCTTGCGCAAATACTCATGGCCAGTGTAGACAGGTAGTAAGATTTTGTGCAAAACCGGGCACTTTTGCGCAAAATCATGCCAGTCTAGACACAGCCTAATTGCTGTTCTTCGAGATGTGTTGCTCTTGTCCATTCAATCTCCACCCTCCTCCCCACTGTTGGAATTTTGGCAAGAAGGGACTGAGGAGGGAGGGGCCAGGAATTGCATGTGTGTGCCACTCCAGGGAGCACTAGGGACCCAGATACTGATTAGGGGAAGACTTCCAGCACCATTGCATGTGGCAGGCACTTACACCCATGTTAAATGGACATGAGCAACACATCTTGAAGAACACCAGTTACAGAACAGGTAACTATCTTTTTTACTTTCCTGTTTTCAAAAATATTTTAATGAAAATAATGGATTGTAAGAATAAGACTGAATTTGGACTCACAAAAAGATTAAGAATTTAAACTTTGCTGTCTTGTCATCTGCATGGCAGTGATTTCTTACTTTTAAGGTAGCAAAAGATATGTGCAATAAAAGAAAGTTACACGTGTATTTCCTTGGCAATACAGATAGATTCAAAATGATTTGGGGCTATCTTCTATTCTCGTAAGACTCCCACTAGGAATTCCACCATTGAAACAAGGGTAGAATATAGTCTTTAGAATCTGAAGAAATCTAATCCAATCTTTTCTCATCAGATTGGAAAAAGTTTGAGGTGGGTACAATTTTTAGCTCTTTATTATCTTTTTAAAGCTAGGTTTAGTCTTTGAAATACTGTAAATTTTGACAGGGAAAAGAAAAAACGAGCAAGCCCAGTACCATCAAGTCATAGAGATCCAAAGGCTATATTAGAAGGTGAGAGTGATATTGATTTATTTCCATTTTTTGGAATGCAGAATTTTTAAGTCAACATTTCTATTCATGTAAGATATTAAAAATCCATGTTTTCATGTGTTCCATTAGTATGGTATACTTAAAAAGAACTATTTTAGTTTTAAAGAGTTCTGCAATTTTGATTGGTACTATTTTTTTCCTTTGCCAGGCTACATTAATTATTATGAATACAGTTTTACTGGCCTCAGAAGGAAAGACAGAGAGAGAGAGAGAGGATTATAGTTTTTTTCTATACATCACAACACTGTAATATACTTTAAAATCATATACTTCCTGGAAAAATTCCTCTTTTACTTCCTATCTTTTTTGAACTTAAAACTGTTCACAAGGTCGCAAGTTCATGTCTTAAACCTGTCAATAACTTAGGACTGAATATTATTCATCTAGGCGGGCAATATGATTTTTGGAGAAATAAAGAATATACATAGTCAGTGTATCATTCAAGCTTACCTTTTTCCTGAGATTTGGCTTTACTGGTAGTTGAAACAGCAATAACAGCATGAATCTCAACTTACATTTCTACCCAAGATTAGTTATTGCCTCTTTAGGCCTCTAGTAAGATACTGCTCTGCCATAAACCTTAATTCTTCTTCACATGCTGTCCCTGTGGATGCTCTACTTCAGGTATTGATTTATCCTGGTGCTATGAATCAGAAACTTATGGTAATAGTGTCCGCATATGCAGCAGGTGTCATAGTGCTGCTGGTATTGCATCGAGTGAGCACGACCCCAACCCCCCCAGCCCGTTCCTTCTTAACCGGCCTCAACTGTAGATGGAGCTCTGGGACATAGTTTATCACTCTTCTCAAACCTTTAGAAATAATAGTTTAAACAGTTAGTTAGGCATATAGATAGTGTTGGTTTTGTTACAAAAAAAGAAGTTTAATTCCTCTAGTTACCTTTCCTGTACCATGGAAGGTTAACCATTAAGATACCTGGCTCCACAAGTTTCTAGCAATGTGGCTTCTGCTGCAAAGTAATGCCCCATATGGGATGTGCACTTCTTGTGTGTACGTTGACTTGGGAAAGGCACATATCCCACAAAAATGTGTCGATTGTAGCAGTATCAAAACTAGAGCCTGGTGCAACTGGAATCTCAGGCTAAAAATGATTTTTCTCCTACCTGAAATGGGCATGAAGACTGTGTCTTGGGGTACTTCTCCCACTGGAACAGGTGATGTACCCTCCAAAAGACTTCAGAAGAGAGCACAGACATCTTGACAGAGAATACCGCAGGCACAATGGCAGTCTCCTGCCAGATTCCTGCCCCCAATGCCAACACTTGCTTGAGTGAGCAACTATGACACTTTGGGTACCTCTGACACCACTGAATCCTGAGCAAAGGAAATGGAATCAAGGCTCAGATGATGTAAGATATGCCTCCATCATGGCACCGAGTTCATCTACAAGACACTTGCTACCAAGCGTCTCCTCACCCTGGCTCCCACCCTCCAGGCCGCCCATGGCTCATAGAAGCACACTGCAGTCTAACCCTGCATCTCCCACCCTGAAGCCTCCCAACTCCATAGTAATTGACACTGCAAATCTATGTGGCAAACAAACTCAATTTAGATCGACACCACAAGATAAAGAACACAAGACACTCGCCCTACTCAGGTGCAAAGTTTATGGGTCTAACTCTAACATGTTACAATTCAGTCACCAACTATTCTGTCTTGTTGGCTAAAATGATTATGATAACTATTGGAACCTTAGCTTGTTCACGTCAGAGCTCCCTGAGGAGAAATCGTCACAGTTTCAGGTCATTGTCAATGAGGATCAACTTATAGAAATGTAAGCAGGATCTGAAAGAATGCCTCCATTACAGCTAGCTGGAAAGGGAGAGAAACCTTGGATGTGTGTATGTAAATACAATTTCTCGTGCTTTGCTTAGATGTGTTAGATATTCAGCAGATGGAGTGGTATTTTGCTTATTGTAAGCAACTTAATTTGTGACCCAATAGCAGCTATGTGTATATTAAATATAGGGCTAACTAAAATATGTTTGTAATTTTGTGGAAATACAGAAAAGTAGGACTGTGCTCCATTTTTCCAAATTAAAAGACTCAGTTAGCAGAAAGAATCTTGCAAGTGCGGGAGCTTGACTTTTCAGAGCCCTATAAATTTTTCTGGTCTGTAGGGGTATGTCTACACTACAGCACTAATTTGAACTAACTTAGTTCGAATTAATTAATTCGAACTAAGCTAATTCAAATTAGCGCATCTAGACTTAAAAACTAGTTCGAATTAGCATTTTGCTAATTCGAAATAGCGCGTCCACACTGATTGGACGCTGGGTCGCATTTAAGGGCAGCTGAAACCGGTTCCGGCAGGGCATCAGGTCAGTAGTTGCTTTGTGTAGCTGCTGTCTGAGGCTATCTGAGGCTCGTGCTTAAAGGGA